CTAGAAATAAATCCATATTCCTAGTTCACTTAAACTAATGCTCTGATACCAACTATGACATCCGGATTTTCACGGCCAGAAAAAACCGATTTTGTTTATGCTTTACAAAAATCAGACTATCTCTTTTAATAAAAACGTTGCAGAATTGTTCCTAGTAAAACATGATAAATACGTTTTCAAACAATTTCTGAAGAAAAGTATTTTTATTCATTTTAAAACATTTGGGATGTCATCGTCAATACAGAAACATAAGCTTAAACAAAACATACATTCATTATCACCAGTGATTTATATCTCCTTAATCTCTCGGTGTAATGTGACTTCATATCAACACTTGTGATATGAGTAAACTGAGTGGGTCAGGTTGGGAAACCTAGTGAGTACATAGGGTTTTCAACCCACAATAATATAATTATTATGTTTAAACAATCAAACAATCAACCCAATTACCCATCCCCATTATCTTCCTTACCCTTAAGAGTCTACCCTAAGAGTCATCTATCCTGCATTCGTTCATTCTGAAGTCCTTTGCTTCCAGGGTTATAATACTAGCACTAAGTCCATAGCTGCGAATTCTCATTCGTAAAGCACTAATTTCATGGCTGCTAAAGTTCATTCATCGGGTACTAAATCCATAGCTACCAGTGTTTAGGTACTAAGTCCATAGCTACCAATGTTTATCTATCAGGTACTAAGTCCATAACTACCGGCGTTTATTCAACGGGCACTAAGTCCATAGCTACCAATGATCACTCATATCATCTTTTATCTCTCATCATTCATCTACCCATGTTGTACCCAACATATTTGTAGATATAAAATACATATACAGTTTAAATCATTTAAAACTTGTATAAAACCGTTCATCCAGCATCGATAGCAAGTACACAGATAATATGCACACACAGCATGTAGTTTATATTAAATACTTCCTATCTATGTGTAATATGAAAGGGACCATGCACTCACCTGAGAAGGTGGTGATTCGGCACTCGAACAGCACTTAGTTACTCTCAACACAATTTTCCTCGGATAAAACCTAGTATCATTACCACTAGAGTTTTGTCTAATCTTCACCGAGACTAATTAATAGTGTAGCTATTATTACTATCGTTTAATCGTTAAACAATACTTATATAGCCCATAATAATAGCCCAAGTACTTATTATAAGTTCCTGATAACATTACTATACTGAAACATAAGATATACTAACGATAGGGTAGGCGTAGCTCACTTACAACAGGTTTTTCGCAAAATTGGGCTTCGCTGGAGCAGCGTTCCCGAGCCAAAAGGCTCTTTTCTCAGGGCTTCGGGAGCCTTGGGGCTTTCTTCGGGTGCTAGGGGGTTTACCTACACTTTAGGGGGGGGGTTTGGGGCTTTATAGAGAGAAAGTGAAGTTCGGAAGGTGTGAAGAATGAGGGAACTCGTCACCTCTATTTATAGGTTGAAAATCCGAAAAACTCGTCAAGTTGACCTTCAACTCATCAGGTTCCAGGCTAGGTGTCAGCATTCTGGTGGCGAAACGTGTGTGGCCTACATTGTGCCACGTCACCCCTTTTGCAGCAGCACCCTGCTGACTTCTAAACCCCGTAACTTTTGCATACGAGATCCGTTTTTGACATCCTTTTTTTCCATGCATAGATAAAAACATGATCTACAACTTTAATTTAGACTCCATCGGCTAACTCTTGACCAATCTTAAATTTAATAGTAGGAGGATATTAGACTACTAAATGACCGCGAAGAATTCGTAACTCCTTCATACGGATTCCGTTTTTGTCTTTCTTTTTACCGTTGAGTTCCTATTAATGATATATTCAACTCTCATTTAGGTCGTGTAAGCCAAAAACCGCTCGAACTAAAATTTGAGTTTCGGGCTGTACACTGCTAAGCCGAAACTTTGAAAAATCATAACTTCCTCATACGAAGTCAGATTTGGGTGTTCTTTTTATGGATTTTCTCGGTTTAACATACTCTACGACTTTGGTTTAGATTAATAAGGCTAAAAAGTATTCTATCATAAATTCACTTTTTACGCTTCTTGGTGCCATGTTGGTTTCGTCGCAAAACTTTGACGGGTCATAACTTCTTCATTATAACTCGGATTTCGGCGCTCTTTATATATATGAAACCCTTGAGACATATTCTACAGCTTGGTTAAGATTATTTATTCTAAATAATCTTTTGATGGAACGTCATTTTCAACCCATATTATCTCTAAATTGACTAGCCCGGATCTGCGGGCGTTACAATTATGGTGCCTCCAAGCTCTCTCTCATTGTCCTCAATTGTTCTTGTTGTTTGTGCCTTATTTGAGGTTTTAATCTCTTTTAAGTCCAAGTTCTACAAGCTACAACAAAGAGGTAATCATCTTTTTTTTTTATGTTTCAATTATCAAAGATGTATGCTAGTTAGGCTTCATTCTTTGGAAAAATGAAATTGCATGTATAACTTGAGAAAACTTAGATCCAAAGCATCTAGGGTTGTATGTGCACCATAGGTAAGTTATAGTGCTCAAAACCCATCAGCCACCACTCAATATGTCGACACATGTAACAAACAAACAATCAAGTAAACACATAAACACATGCAACTATCTACACTAGTCTACCAGTCTAAAAACTCACTATCGCATACCAGGCCTCATACATTACACTACACCTCTACCGGTAGATCTCCAAGGAATGCATAACTATATGTAACGAGAGGTGAGATAGACATTCGAATGGGTGATCCCACTCTAGAGCGACAACCAAACAAGAAACAAACAAGAAGGCCTATATCAAGAGTTCTTAGTTTATCTGACATAACTACATATAACCCCTAGGGCACCCCACTAGACGATCATCAACCTACTAGTACTCTAACCAACATATCACTACTACTATATCCTGACATACAAGCATATACACTGTAACACGTAGTATAGTGAGGAAACTCACCAGAATTCTAGAACCAAAAACACAGCAACACCCTCACTCCTTGCATCGATCACCTACACGAACCGACTTTCACTATATATATATATATATATATATATATATATATATATATATATATATATCCCTAATCAATAACCCAATTTCTTTAAGTTTGACCCAAAGTCAAACTAGTCAAAAGTTAACAATCAACCAAATCAATGCTCGGCACGACATAAGGACCTCTTGTCCATGTCGTGGGAATACCGGTACAAGATAGTCATGAAGCGGAGAGCCACTACGTCATGGCAAGCCAATTGTTACATTGTCGTAGCTGGAAGATTACCATATTCTTCATTAATTTCTTAATACTTATATATATATAAGCCCAAATTTTCAAATCCACTTCTTTTGAACGAATTAATGGATAAAGTATCCAACTTTATCCATTAGGACTCCATTCTAAGGCTAGATCTACAACCATATGACCATTAAGTTCTAAATGGTGCCAAAAATTGAGCATGGACACAAAAGGACCCCAACGTGGCTCCGTTTTCTCAATTTTCAGAACATGTTTATCACTAGAGGTTATCCACAAGCTCTGGAGTTATTCAATTCTCAAAGCATCAGAAAAAGGGACCAAAACCCTCTAAAATAAGCTCATACTTGAAACGAGAAGAACAATGGACAAGGTATGAACTTTATGACTCCAATAACACAGATATCAGAAGAGGATGTGGGATCCTTGTTCCCTTGCTTCCTTGTGAATTCCTTCTTCCTCAAGTTCCACCCAAATCCAATAAATAAGCTACAAATCAAAAGAATAAGCTCTCACATCTTCATGGAGGCTAGGGTTTCATTGATGACGGGTTGGAGGCTAAAGAGGATGCCCTAATCCTTAAGATTAGGTACTTAAATATGGAGGAAACCCTAAAAAGCATGGGCTTGGGCTACATCAACTACCACGTCGTTGCCTTCCTCTTAGCACGTCGTGGTGATCATCCCGATGCACGTTTCATGCATTTGGCATGCCAAGTTGTGGTGCTCCATTCACCACGTTAGGACACAAGCTTTTTCCCAAAAACCTTACTTTTAATCCCTCAAGCGTTTAACCGATAAAGACTAGTGTTACATTTATAAATTGGTTATCTTAAATTTAAAACACATTACACTATTTTCTTGTAACTAGAAAATGTCATATCCCAGCATCGTCGGGGGGGGGGGGGGGGACATTGCGTAACTACGAATGTGTAGGGATTAAACATGCAAATACTTTAAATTACGGAGACATTTTTTGTAATTAATTTTCTACGTAGGGGTCAAACTTGCCAAAATAAAAATATTGTACACATATGTTAATAAAAAAATAAAATAAAATAAAATAACTTACATAGACTTGTTCTGAAAATTTAAAAATTATAGAGACTAAATCTAACAAAATGTAAAACTTTTATTAAAGGGATTAAATCTATCAAAATTTTACAACCTTTATTGCAGAGACAAAATCTGCTAAAATATTTTGCAGGACAAACTCTTGTGACAAAACTCAAAAAATCGAAGACTTCACTATTCATAAAAACTTTTCTTTTGATATATAGTATAATTGTTGGATTTTTCCCTTACTTTTTTTTGTTAGCAAGGCTAATGAAAATTCACCTGTTTTAATATATATATATATATATATATATATATATATATATATATATATATATATATATATAGAGAGAGAGAGAGAGAGAGAGAGAGAGAAAGAGAGAGAGAGAAAGAGAGATGAGGGTTCAATTGAGAAAAAAAAAGGTTGAGAATAGGGGAACCATTCTCAGCCAATCATTTAATGAGATTAAAAAATGCACGGTGGCAAACTTGTAAATAATCCAAATACATTAATGAGCGGTTGCAATTTTGTAAATAATCAAAAAACATAAAACCGTCAGGGCACTTGAGTAATTTGATATCACGTCAAATCTCGACAGAAAAGCACCATTCCCTCTTCGATACACCATAACTCGAAAACCATTTGAAGAAAAATCGACAAGAAGAAACACATTTGCAGAAGCATCAAATAACATAAACGAAGAAAAATGCCTTCCGATGAAAACATGAACGAGACCATTTCCTCACTCTTGACAATGAAAGGTAACCATCGGCGTTTTTTCTCGAATTTTTATAGATTTCGAATCATTTCTAAAATTATCACTTGATTACTTGAAATTTCTCGTAATGTTCGAAAATTATTAGTTGAATTAGAACTAAAAACATTGTTTTCACACTGTTCATTCTTCAAAAAAGGTTGTTTACTTCAATTTTACTTGAAATTTATGATACTCGTTCATTCTCGTAACCCTCCTTCGTTATTACTTTATTTACTTGAAATTTTGGTAAGAATCATCCATTATTATTTTATATATAAATGATTTTACATCATCTCTTCATTTTTCATCTTTATTCAAAACTATTCTATCAAAATACAAACGTTACTTAACATTTTGCTTATGTTTTCCTAATATTAACTACTTAACTTTACAGAAACGACACCAACAGTGAAGAATACATATAAACAAAAACCAAGAACAAATCAAAAAGGTAAATAAAATATGTTTTGTTTACTTCTGAACACAAGCAAAACTAATATTCATTCGTGAATATGTATAGCTTGCTGCCATACATACATTATTAAGATGTGAATACAACAAGAATTACTTACGTATGTTCTATTCACATATGAATATAACAAAACATATTCATATGTGAATAAAGAAAATATGAATACATATGTTTTATTAAAATATTCATTCATGAATATGTATGTTATATTCACATAGAACATAAATTGCTGCCATACATACATTATTAATATGTGAATACAACAAGAATTACTTACATATGTTCTATTCACATATGAATATAACAATACATATTCATATGTGAATAAAGAAAATATAAATACATATGTTTTATTCAAATATTCATTCGTGAATATGTATGTTATATTCACATAGAACATAACTTGCTGCCATACATACATTAGTCATATGTGAATACAACAAGAATTACTTACATATGTTCTATTCACATATGAATATAACAAAACATATTCATATGTGAATAAAAAAAATATGAATACCTATGTTTTATTCAAATATTCATTCGTGAATATGTATGTTATATTCACATATGAATAGAACATAGCTTGCTGCCATACATACATTATTCAAATGTGAATACAACAAGAATCACTTACATATGTTCTATTCACATATGAATATAACAAAACATATTCATACGTGAATAAAAAAATATGAATACATATGTATTATTCAAATATTCATTCGTGAATATGTATGTTATATTCACATATGAATAGAACATAGCTTGCTGCCGTACATACATTATTCAAATGTGATTACAACAAGAATCATTTACATATGTTCTATTCACATATGAATATAACAAAACATATTCATACGTGAATAAAAAAATATGAATACATATGTTTTATTCGAATATTCATTCGTGAATATGTATGTTATATTCACATATGAATAGAACATAGCTTGCTGCCATACATACATTATTCAAATGTGAATACAACAAGAATCACTTACATAAGTTCTATTCACATATGAATATAACAAAACATATTCATATGTGAATAAAAAATATGAATATATATGTTTTATTCGAATATTCATTCGTAAATATCAAACTCATTTATCTTCTACTTACTATTGAATGAAGGTAAGAACACTAACATTTCCGATAAAGATTCACCAACAATGAGAGAAACAAGATCAATGCAGAAGAGGAAAAATGTGAAAGGTACAAAATTCCTATCATATCTAATATATTCATATATAATAAAATTGTATATATTAGTTATATTTTTGAAATAAATAAATATTAATAAATCAACGAGCATATATCATATTCATATACCAGTAACTTATTCAAATATTATATGTTTTCATTTCCCAGATAAAAAAGAAACAAAAGTACCAAAGAAAATGAAGCATCAAAGCAGGAAAAGTCCATCAAAAAGGAAAACTCTTGAAAAACAACAACTACAAGATTCAGACTCTGATTTCGAAAGTAGTCATCCATCGAAGAAGGCAAAAAAAAAAAGGAGTCACCAATCAAAAAAGACAAAAAGAAAAACAAAAAACAATGGTAAAAGAATTTTACTTAATGAAAAATCAATGTTCACCAGAGGCATTACTATCTATAATCCTTGGGATGAGCAAAGAACAAAAAGAATCTGTAAGATCTACGGGTTTTGGAGCTTTGTTAAAAATGAAAATCACGGATATACCACTGAAGCTGGGATTTTATGTTCTTCAAAAATTTGATTCTGAGAGAATGGTGATAGATATTGAAGGAAAGGAATTGAAAGTAACAGTAGAGTCTGTTCATGACATGTTGGGCATACCAATTGGTGGAACCAAACTTACACAACTGGATCAATGGCCTAAGGATGATACAAGTTATGATGAATGGAAGCAACAATTTAAAAAAGATTCAATCATCCGACTGAGTGCAATCAAAAATGTTATTGTTTCTACCACAAAAGTTGATTTCAATTTCAAATTGAACTTCTTAGTTCTTTTTGTCAACACTTTTTTGCGAGTCAACATCAATGGGAAGATCCAACCTGTTTCCCTTGAGTTATATTTCAAGAAAAACAGATATCAGCAACATAGACTGGTGCAGCTATGTTTTGGACTGTCTTGTCAGAACAAAAAAACTCATACATACCATACTCAGATAACAGCTTCTCTGTTGGACCTTCAACTTTCTTGGAGGTAAGTTATTATAATGTTTATACTCAATTTTTAATAATATTGATTATTCATAATCTAATAGCAAAAATTCATATATGAATAAGAAAAATATATTTGTTCACACGTAATGCTTTACATTACTTATTCATTTATGAATAAGTAAAAAAATAATATTACTTGTTCATATATGAATATCAATTAGTTATCATTTATGTGCAGTTATTCTATGCTGATAACATCCACTCGGAAGCTTTAACAGTAACACGTAAACGTCCAACAATTTGTTATTGGAGTTCAGAGAAGATTAGATATCGAGAGACATTTGAACAAGAAAAAGGTAGATTTGGAGTTGGAGAATTAAACGAAGAATTTGTTAATGAACAAAATGAAGGAGATACAGATCTCGGAGACAGTGATTCTGATAAAGATGAAGATCATTCTGTTGAGGTAATTAGTTTTAACATGTAAATAATATATGATTACATTAAATTATTATATTAAATGCTAATAATATACTTCTTTTTGTTACATAGGCATATGAATCAAAAATATCAAAAATGATTAATAATTTTGAGAGGATGAAGGAAAAGTTGAATTCAAAGCTTAATGATGCGATGACAAAGTTCCCTGAAAAGGAAAGTTTTCGAATTTTCAAAGAAAAGATGAAAAATATGATTGTTGAAGAAAAAACTGAAAGCACAACACTTTTTAATTTTCCAATTAATTAAATTGGAGTTGAAGGAATCAATTTGACACCAATAATGGGTCAAAAAACAAATGATCAAACAGAAAATGAAGATAAAGAGGGAAATGGTGAAGAAGATAATGATAATGGTGCAAGTCAACTAGAAGTAGATTATTTGCTTGATTCAAATGAAGCAGATAATGAAGGAATAAAGAATGATGCAGATAAGAATAAAAAAGAAGGTGAAATTAGAGTAAAAGAGAAAGATGCAAAGAGGAATGAAAATCAGAATGATGAAAAAGAAAAAGATGATCATGCTGAGTAAACAAATAATCATGAAGAGACTATTCAACAAACTGAAAATCAAAATTTGTTGGATAAAGTTGTTGACAACATTGTGGACAATGTCCTTGGAATTGGAGTTTCAAGTTTAAATAGTCAAGAAGATGAAATCTGGAATCATCCTGAAATGAAAACTATTTTCGATAATATTGATATAGGTAAATTTTGTCTTAATTTTATTTAAAAAAAAATATATAAAAATATCAATACACAATAACAATTTTGTTTGTTAAATTTTGACCAGGGTCACCAATGAGTACAGGTAAAACTAATACTCTTGCAGAAAAGGAAAAATCAGAAGGTGTACATGAACAAGGAACAAAAGTTGAAAAAACAAAGGGAGATGATACAGGTAAATGAATGATTTAAAATATATTACAATATTTATATTGATTTTGTTAATAACATTGTTTATTCATAAATGAATAATATACTATATAAATGAATAAAAAAATATTCATATATGATGTATATGTTTCAGGTAAGGAAAACTCTAAAGATAGAAATGAAGGAGGAACGAAAGCTAAGAACACGAAAGATGGAGGTGAAGAAAAATAAATAGAAATTCAAAAAGGAAATGCAGAAGATAGAGGTAAATAGTTGATTCACTAATAAATGAATATAGTAAGTTTTATTATTTGTAAATGAATAACACAATATATGAATAAATAAAAAATATAGTATTACTAATTCATAAATAATGATATGTATTACTTATTCATAAATGAATACATTACTTATTCACATATGAATTACTTAATCACATTTCTTTATCTTTCAGGAAAAGAAAAAGTCAGAAAATCAAAACAAGAAAAGAGAAAAAGCTGACAAGACAAAAGGAAATAAAGGAGGTAACAATTTGGATAAACATTTCAAAATATAAATTCAAATATTATAATTAACTTACAACTATTTATATGATAAATCTCCTGGCATGCAGATACTCATCCAAGCTTTAGTCTAGGTCTCAGTTAAGATTCAGATCAAACTTCAAGTAAAAAATCTAATGAATCTTCACCAAAAAAAGCACTTACAAAGAAACAAATCAAAGACGACCATCAGAAGGTTGTTATCATATTAGCAAAGAAAAACGTTCTTAATCCAAATCCAATCTCTGTATCAATTCCTACTGAAGTAGGACCATCAAAGCATGATCTGGATCAACCAAGAGAGAAGAAGCTTGCTGATGCTTTCAAATCACCTTTCAAATGCAGAATAACAGACACAAAACCAAAACTGACACATCAAGAGAGTATTGTCTATGAATGGTTGTTCAACTTACAAGGCAATACATCGTAAGTAACTTTATTTTATATACATTCATATATGATTATTATATAGATAATAATCTATGACATTTTGATTATATATTTGCAGAGATGTGGTTGTCCAGACAAAATATGGTCAGATAGCAGAAAGAGCAGTTATGGAAAGTCTATATGCAAACACAGAGATTTTTGGAGAAGTTTTAGACACTTGGTCTGATTTACTTAACCACCAAGAACTGGAAAGGAATTTTGGAAATTCACCATACAGACTATTCTTGAAAGTTGGAGTTTCTGTAAGTTTATGTTCTAACCTTAATTCCTTCCTTATTCATAAATGAATACACCAATATGATATATTCATTTATAAATATTATATTTTTTTACAACTTAAATTCACATATGATTATACAAATATGATGTATTCTTTAACATACTTATATATATATTCAACCGAAATTCACATATGATTATATTGGTTACAGACTGCTTATCTAACTTCAACATTGTCTGATGAAAGAAAGTATGAAAAATTCAATGAGAACTTTCATGACAGTACCAATGGGTACAAAAAAATCTTGAACATAAAAGATATTGACATGGTATGTTAATTAAAGTTGTTTTTTTATATATTTTTTATCAACAAAATACTTACCATTATCTACATAAAAACAGGTATTCTTTCCAGTTGTTAGAAGTGCTCATATTTTTGTGATTGTCTTCAACTTAAAGAAACCGTCAATTGAAATACTAGACAATAGTGCAGTTGAGGGGGATTATGAAGGGAAATACTGAGTAATAATCAAACCTTTGGTATGTACCTAGTTCACAACAACATAAAAGAACCAATTGATTACATATCTAACTTTTATTTTATTTAATGATCAGAAAATTTTGTTTGTGAGATACTTTAAAGAAATAAACCATCCAAGAGCAAATGCAATCTCAAAAGAAAGTATCAAACCCCAACGACTTGAAATGTCATGGAGAACAGCTAAAAACAAAGTTGATTGTGGGGTCTTTACAATGAGACATATGGAGACCTATATGGGACAACTACTATCAAAGTGGAAAGCAAGTCTTCGTAAAGAAAGTGCAATTTAGCAAACTACTTTAGAGAAGCTCAGGAAAAGATAAGAACACACAATGCTAACTTCTGAAATTAACATGTTGAAGGCTAAGGTGTTGGATCTTGCTGAAAAATATCAAAAAGTTTAATTCAAAGTGCGTACTGATCATGCATACAAGGCTATGCAAACAATTCAAAAAAATGTTAAAAGAATATTAATGATTGATTGTGAAGATGAAAGAATGTTGAAGTGTGATGCTATAGAACAGTTTGTGTTGAAGATGCATGGATTTGAAGTACATGTAAGATGATTCTGTGAAACAAGTTTTAAATGGTTTGTTAAATATTGTTGAACATCGTTTTAATATTTTGTGAAATGCTTATGAACAACTTTTATTATCTTGTGTTGAATGATTATGTAATAGAAACAACTTCACTTATTTCTGTCAGTTTTTTATATTTAAATATTTTCAAAGTTTATTTATGTTTATTCATAAATGAATACAAATATGATATCTTCATTTATGATTAAATTAGGAGTAATATGTCAGTATAACAAAGTTCATATATGACTATAACAAATTTCATATATGAATATAACTAACTTATTAGTAGAAACAAGTTTTCTTATTTATGTCATTTTTTATATTCAAATATTTTCAAAATTTATTTTTATTTATTCATAAATGAATACGAATATGATATATTCATTTATGAATAAGTTCAAAGTAATATGTTCGTATAACAAAGTTCAGATATTAACATAAAAAAGTTCAGATATGAATATTACTTATTTATTAGTATAACAAATTTCACATATTTATATTCATTTATAAATAATTTACAATATCAATATAACTTATTTTATAGTAATTTAAAAAACAAATATCTACATATGAATTTACCATATCAATATAAATGTGTATTATTCATACATGAATATTATTGTTTATTGTTTTTATTTGCATATATTCATAAATGAATAAAAAAAATCCCTAACTGTCTTTTGCTAATTTAGTAGCTCTAACTCTTTCTGGACAAGTACGTAAATTGTGTGGAACTCGGTTTCCACATCTTGAACACATTATATGTTCTTTTTTAGAATTTTCATATGCTACTTCACCTGCACTTGGAATTCTTTTCTTGATTACAGAACCTTTATTGCTTTGAACTTTAGGAACATGAATATTAATCTCTTCTGGAATAGGAATAGTAACACCCAAAAGCTTGCATACGACTTAACCATTTGTCTTGCTTTTCAATCCAGGAGAAATATAATCACTCTCAAATTCCTTCAACAACATTTGTTGTTTCTCAGTAAACAAAGCCAAACTCTTTTTGTCATCTCTTACAATATCTAAACATGATTCAAAACAATAATATGAATCATTGACTAGCTTTACATTCTCACAATCACCTAAATCGGATTGAACGGAACTAAAACGATAATTTCTTGATATCACATCCTTTCTCCATCTCTTCAAAATGTACCTTTCAGGAATTTCTTTAACACCACATCTCATCATTATTGTAAAAGCATGTCTACATAACACACCCATACACTTATAATGTTCACAACTACAATTTATTTCTTTCTCTTCAGCTTTTATTTCAACCTGATACAAAAACAAAATTTACACATTTACATTCATATAAGAATACTCATATCAACACTCATATATATTCATATATTCATATAATATTCATATATGAATATTGATATTCATATATGAATATTATAATATTCATATATGAATATTATTACATTTTTCATAAAAAACAAGTAAAATTACCTTAAATTCATTTTTGAAATCACTTTTACTGTTGTTGTGCTGCACAATGTAAGCTTCCCAACCATCTTCAATACTAACATATGAGTACGTACAGAAAAAAACATGCTTTATATATATATATATATATATATATATATATATATATATATATATATATATATATTTCTTTTTGCACCTCAAAAAATAATGTACTTGTATAAACATTTGATGCTTGCAGTTCTATTTCTCGAGGTGTTTGCATTTTATATGATGCTTTCTTTGACGCCCTATCAAGCTCTCGTTGAGTATTCCTTTTCTTTTGAATGGCAGTGTCATAATTCATCATGAAATTCAAAAGTAAGTTCCCACTTTCTGAATATGTATTAAAGAATGAATTCATACTCTCTGTCCTCGATGTAGTCTTCATCAAACCACACATTGGAATATCACTAAAATATCCAGGTATCCATGAATCACTTATTGTAAACATGTCTTTAAACCATCTTGTGTCTTCAAGATTGAATTCCTTCATTAGCAAACCCCACTTCACCTCAAAAACATCAGGTTTCATATTAATGTCCCAAACAAGCTTTGAAAACCTTTTTCTAAAGTCTGTGTTTGTAAATAAATCATCTGATATCTGTATTAAAACAAAAATATTCATAAATGAATAAATAATAATAAGTAAAATAACAATCAATATTCATAAATGAATATACTAATACGTAATATATTTTAAATATATTAAAATAATACCTTTTTTTTCAACTTTTTCATTATATGCCACATACATAATCGGTGCTTTGAATTACGAAACACATTCTCAACAGCTTGTTTTATTGCAGCATCTTGATTAGTTAAAACAAGTGTTGGTTCTTTCCCATGACTGTTAAGAAATGCTTTAAGCAACCAAGAGTAAGACTCAATGCTTTCATTGCTTAGCAACCCAGATCCAACAGTAACCAATTTTTTATGATGGTCAATAGCAGTAAATGGAACAAAAACCATTCAATACCTAACACAGAAAAAAATGTTCATTAGAGTCAATTTTTGATGTATTAATAACTGAATATAAAAATATTCATATATGACTAAGCTATAAACAAAAGTAGATAAAATAACTTACTTGTTTGTTCGGAAAGTCGCATCAAACGAGATAACATCACCAAATTCAGCATAATATGCCTTCTCCATTTCATCAGCCCAAAACATACAGTCAAAAACATCATCTTGACAATTAAACTCAAATGAGTAATTTGGATACTGAGCTCGACGGTCATTCATTGTGTTTACTATCATTTGGGCATCTTTATAACCAATAACCTTGTTGATATCTCTCTTTAAATTTTTATAGTCAACTACTTTGGGCTTTACAAACTCATACCCACCTCTCAGACTTGCCCTCAAATTATGAGCCATGGTTGGACCTATTTTTTATGTGGAAGCACGCACAATAAACTCTTTTTCTGAATATGACATTTGTCTCGCCTTTTTTAAATCACTTCTCTTCTCAAGTGGATAGTTGTGAAGTTCATCAAACTGAAAAACTTTATAATCTGGAGTTTCATACACAAATTCAAATATAATCTCTGCTTGACAACCAATAGCTCTTGAATTTGAATTTCGTTTCCTCCTAACACCACTTGTACCTAATGTGTCACAAGATTTCTTTTTCTGTTTACCACCACGATTACATATAACATGTTTCTTCTTTATAATCTTGTTATCAAACCTTGACTATGTGCTCAGTCTAACATCAAAACCACCAATTTCAGCATACTCAGAATACATTTTGATAGCCAACTTTAATGATATGAAGATTAAACCCTTAAAAGGAATAAGTTGAACAGGTACATCTGGCTTATAAACATGTTCTCCAATTATATCATCAAAATATTGTGCATCATGTACTGAACTTGAAGATTCACCACCTAAAATAATAATGCATGAATAAAACAATAATATATATGAATACACAAAACTCATATAAATAAAACAAAAAACATTCATATATGAATAAAACATTCATATATGAATACATAAAATTCATGAGGATTCAAAATATATAAAATAAAACATAACTTATTCATATATGAATAAAACGAAAAAAATAATAAATTTAAAATTACAATTAATACACATTTATTCATATATGAATAAGACAACAATTCATTCATTTTAACATATTCATATGTAAATAAAACATAACTTATTCATATATGAATAAAACGAAAAAAATAATAAATTCGAAATTACAATTATCACATGTTTATTCATATATGAATAAGAAAACAATTTATTCATATTAACATATTCATATGTAAATAAATGATAATCAACAAAATTAAAAACAACAAAATAATTCAATAACTGATACCTTCAAAAAATGAGTTCTCAATATCTTCTTCTTCACTCTCACTCATAGAAGAATACAAATCACCATCAATAACACTAGAATTCGACATAATACACCAAATGATCTATATAAATAAACAAAAACAATCTTAATATCGAATATATCTCACAAAAAAAAGTCGTAAAGATGAAAACCTAGTTAATTTCGAATATATCTCACCTCAACGTACAAAATATCTGAAAGAAACTTAAATCATATATGATCATATTATGTAATTAAGCAATTTCTCTCTCTCTCTCTCTCTCTCTCTCTCTCTCTCTCTCTCTCTCTCTCTCTCTCTCTCTCTCTCTCTCTCTATATATATATATATATATAGGGTTATGTTCGAATCAATCAGAACAAATAAATTTAAACACTAATTTTAATATCACACTTTTACACATATACTCTTTCTCTTCCTCTCTCTCATCTTAATTTGGATTCAAATCTGGACCACCATGATAACCATCAAACCACCGCGGGAACCCGTGAGAACCACTGTAGCGTCACTAGAACCACCGTGTCGTCTCCCTCTGCCGGAACCACCGTAATGTCGTCCGAACGACCATAGTGCTCCTGGAACACACATACCATGTCTCTACTCCTCCTCATCCTCCTTTCTCTCCAGATCTTCTTGGTTCCATCATCCTGCACCTATAACCGACATAAATCACCTTTTCCGTCTCCCTCTGTTTGCACCTCCCTCTGCCAGGAAAGGCAATGCGAAGATCATGGATTCCGCTACCAGGTCGCAGATCACAACCACCAGCAACAGTGACATAATACTTAAAATTGGATTCAATATTACATAATGGTGAAGAATAGTATGTATTTTATTGTACAGAACAAGTGTAGAGTATTTGAATATGCAGCTTCGTCGGAGAAGAAAGCTACCAGAGAGGAAGAAGTAAAATCATTTTGTGATTAAAATCACTAATGACTTCTTAACTTACCGAATAACTGTTTTCTTAACGTCCATGAATTTGCAACAATCCTCCTAGGTCGAACTTTGCACCTATTACAATTTCGCCCTACCTGTTCTGTGTTCTCGCTGCTATAATCCCATCAACGAAGCAATTGATTCTGACACCCTAAAAGTTAATTTCTAAGTGAGACAATGAATTACACTTGATTTCTTTTCCATCACCTGTTACACCAAAAACCCTAATTCCTCCATCTTAAAATCATATATCCGGCTGAAAGGTTAGGCATTCTTTTTTCAACGAGACAGAGATGGGAAAGAAGGATAAAATGTATATGGGACAAAGGTGGATGAGGATTGAAGGAGTAAAAGAAACGACTATGGCTTCAATTGAATGCAAAAGGGGGATAGTGAATGGGAACTCGAGTCTGTGTCGTCTCAACTTGATAAGAAATAACAAAAGTTTTATTTTCTTTCTCTCTTGATATTAGTAATCTATGTCGTCTCAACTTGATAAGAAATAACAAAGGTTTTATTTTCTTTCTCTCTTGATATTAGTAAATCTTCTTATTTTATATTTAAATGAAGTAAAATAAAATTTTAAAACTATCCCATTGAGGCATTGACAGTTTAATATTTAAATGAAGTAAAATTAAAATTTACAACTATCCCATTGACAATTTTGCACGCCGCACAACAATATTATATTATTAAAACAAAAATTGATATAAATTTCAATAATCTATTAGTATCCACAAACTTCTTTGCCCAAATTTTACCAACGTGTATTTTTACTAATGGTATTACATTGACATATAATAAAAATAATCTTGTAAATATTTACATTTTATCTTTATTAGAAAATAAATAAATTATGCTAAAATACATCCTTTATTTTTATCTATAAAATAAAATCTTTATTAAATATACAATAACAACTATTATATCGAGAACACGAAAGCGAATAACTATTAAATCGTAAATTTGAAAATGAATTTTGTCTGCATTAATCATGTATGTATTTAATCACGTATGATTTATGTTGGCAAGATTCATTTTTGTGTTCTTGATTTAATAGTTGTTATTTGTCCACTTTAATCATATATGATTAAATACATTAAATCACATGAGATTATATGTATGTAATTTAGAAAAAAAAATGAATCTTGTCTATATAAATAATATATGATTAGATACACATAATTAAATTTGATTATATACATGAGAACAACTATTGAATCAAAGATGCGAATACAAATTGTGTCCACATAAATCGTATGTGATTAAATACATATAATTATGTGTGATTAAATACATGAGACCAATTATTGAATCGAAACTGAAAAAATAAATATGGTCTGCATAAATCATATCGAATTAAATATATATAATCACATGTAATTATAAGTATTCAACCACATTTGCTTTATGTGGACCCGATTCACTTTTGGATTCTCAATTCAATAATTGGTCTTTGTTAACTTTAATTATATTTGATTAAATACATCTAATCACATATGATTTATATGTACAAAAACAAATTTTTTTCCATATAAATCATATGTGATTAGATACATCATATGTGATTAGATACATATAATCACATGTGATTAAATACATGGAACCAACTAATGAATCGAAAATGAATAATGAATAGTTAAAGCATATAATCACATGTGATTATATATATCTTATCACATATGATTTATGTGGACAAGATTCATTTTCGTTATTCTCTTGTATTTAATCACATGTGATTACATGACTCCAATCACATATGATTTATATGGAAAATATTCATTTTCGTTGTTCTTGTGTATTTAATCACATATGATTTATGTGGACATGATTCATTTTCATTGTTTTTGAGTATTTTAATCACATGTGATCATATATATATATATATATATATATATATATATATATATTCGTGTTCTCAATTAAATATCTGTTCTCGTGTATTTAAGTATATGTTATTATATGTATTTAATTACATATGATTTATGGGCACAAGATTCATTTTTGCGTTCTCGATTGAATAGTTGTTCTTTATCCACAACAACCATATGTGATTAAATACATATAACAACATGCGATTAAATAAATGAAAAAAAAATTATCAAATAGAAAACGCAAAAGCGAATATTGTTCATATAAATCATATGTGATTAGATGCATCATACATATAATCACATATGATTATATACACGAGAACAACTATTCAATCCAAAAATGCAAATAATAAAAAAATCTTTTCCACATATATCATATATGATTAGATACATATAATCACATGTGATTATATGTATGATGATATTTAAAAATGAGATGATATTTATATAAAAGAAGATAAATAACTAAACATAATTTAGTAATTTTTTCCGAAAGAGGCTAAAACATTTTTTCTCAAGCTGGTCCATGTTGTCACAGATTTCATGCATTGTCTTCAAAAAATCATAATAAATTTATCATAACTCCAAATGGAAAAATTCCAAAACCTATAGTTAGATATGGATGTATAGTTTCTAACATATAAAGGGACTGATGTAATTCTTAGTAGATTGATACAGTTTATTCCAAGAGTGTTGAGTGGTCCAGAAAGTGACAAATAAAAGTTACCAACTTGTAAATTTAATATAAAATAATACAAAAATCATTAGAATGAGATCTCTATATTTCTGAAAAGATAAAAGGGGGAATGTTACCATTATAAATTTATCAAAATTTAATAATGGGTTGAAAGGAAAGAAAACATATCCCAAAAAGAGGACTACAATCAAAGAGAAAATAAGGAAACATGTACATAAGTTTTATAAGATTAATACAACAAACACAAGCTAAATAATGTTATAATTTTTGTGTAGGTTCTCGGAAAGGAAAGGATACACCTTGCTCATGCTAGCTAATTTTTAATATCAAGGAGGTAAGTACTAACTCTCCTATTACGTAGGCATTACTTGTTTTATGTTATTGTTCACAGAACCCTAATAACATATGATTATGTGTATCTAATCACATATGATTTATGTGGCTAAGATTCTTTTACACGTTCTCGATTCAATAATTATTTTTTTCCAGTTTAATCATATGTGATTAAGTACATTTATTCAGATGTGATTATATGTTTCTAATCATATATGATGTTATTTGGAAAAAACAAATATTTTCTTTTTAAATCATATGTGATTAGATACATGCAATCACATGTAATTATATACACGTTAACAAATATTGAAACAAGAACGCGAAAAGAAATCTTTATCCAAATTAATAATATGTATTAAATATAATGAATAACATGTGATTATAAGAATCTAATCTCATATGATTTATATGGACATAATTCATTTTTGCTTTTTTGATTCAATAGTTGTTCTCATGTATTTTATCGCATGTGATTAAATGTATAATCATATGTGATTAAGTACCTGGCCACAACTATTAAATCGAGAAGGAAAAAATAACGATGTCTATATAAATCATATTTGATTAGATACATATAATCATACACTACTAGAAAAATAACCTTTTACGACGCTCATTGTGCGTTTTAAAAGGCTCAGACGACGCGCAAATGCGCGTCAAGGAAGGCCCTGTCATAAATAGAGACGACGCGCATTTACGATGCTCATTTATGACGAGCAATTACGACGTGCGTTTACGACACACAATGCATATCAAAGAAGGCCCTATCATAAAGGAAGACGACACATATTCACGTGTCGTAACCTTACGACGCGCGTGTTAATGACACGCAATGCGTATCAACAAAGCCCCTGTCAAGAAAGGCCATGTCATAAATGATGATGGCACACATTTTTGCGTATCATAATTTTAAATGTTTAAAAAATATTATTTATAGATTTACTAATTTTCAAATTAAATTTGTATTTAATGTCTCATAATAGTAAATAAAATATCATATACAAAAAATACATTCCATTGCATAAAATTTAATGTCATACAAATAATCGTTACATGGAAAGATAAAACAAATCAATAGAAGTTGTAACAAAAGTTTACAAACTAATTAGATACAAGAAATATAAAAAAAATATACTCTCAAATGTTTTTCAAAGTCTAATCTCCATGTCAGTTCTTCAACTCACTTCTCCAGTTTGTCCTTAGCTTCTCTAAGAGCTCCAGCATCTCTTGCAGCCTGTGACAACATATTATAATTTTTTAATTACTATTTATTCTTATAATTTAAAGCATTTAGATAAAATTGTAATATATAATACTTAAATTTTTTTTACAGAAAATCCACTCACCAGCTTCAACATTCTTAATTCTTTCCTTGCTACCTTTGAGGAAACTCTCTTTACTTGATAACTTTCAGCTGCATTAAGACAAAATACAAATCATTATATTTCTACCTTGTTCTTATTTTTAACCTTTAATTGAATTTCAAAATGAAAATGACAAGATTTTCTTACATTGTCCATTTAACAAGTCTAGGCCTCTCTTATGTAAAATCTTCAAGTGAAAAACGTATCCAGACAAGAAAACATCAACACCTACTTCATATGGACTATATTTCATTCCATAATCCTTCTCAAGACTAAACACAACATAATAAAAAACATTCGAACTTATGAAAACAAGTAAAGATAATATGCAATCCAGGGAAAACATGAGAATAATGAAAAGGAAAGATCTAAACTTGGACTTTGAATACTAGTCAACAATTAAATTTTCAGTTTTGATGAATGGTAATGAAAAAAATAGTGTTTTTGACTTTGAGATAACAGAAGCACACTGGTTACTAATTTTTTTGATCATAGACTGATACAACCCATAATTGATTATTAGAGGTTAGACGATAAAAGTTTGGCTTGGGCCTGTGACTGGTTAAAATATAGTTAACTCCCAACATTTCATTATTTCTAATCATATACAATTTTCAAAACCTTGAGTTATTATTTATCAAATGTATATAAATCTTACGAAGGTGTGTAAACAAGTCTTCCAGCCTCAAGATGCAATGTGATATTATTTTCCATAGATGATAAGAGTGACATGTGCTTGATTTCAGTATACCCCTGTAAAAAATAAACCATAATACAATAATGAAAAAAATATAAAATCAAATTTTAAAATACAAAAAATATAAAGACTCACAATGCTCTTGGCAAGTGCCTTTGCAAGAAGCTATACTGGTGTTAGGCCGAAATTGTTTAACAACTCTTCAGCAACCGACTTGAAAACAGGGATCACACTAAAAAAAAAAATTTAACAACCATGTTATTTAACAAGTCAAGGTTATAATCGTAAAATCACTACCAATGTATTATACCTATCAACAACTTGAATTATAACTTCTGCAGGATCACCACCAATAGCTTTAGCAATATCAGCAGGTTGAGGGGCAGATATGTGTTCAAATTTCACACTTGCCTCCCTCTCTAATTTTGAAATATTTGACTTACTGGCCTCATAAAGTGTAATTGCAACACCCGAATTTCCCACCCTTCCTATCGTCCCAGATCGGTGAATGTAGTCTTCAACATCACGCGGTGGTTCGGATTGAAGGGGTAGAATCGTAATTTCAGCAAAAACAAGAAAAAAATAAAGTGTGATATATAATTGATTTGAAAGTAATGTACCTGGATGGTTAACTGAACATCATTAATATCAAGTCCTCTTGTTGCAACATCCGTGACCACTAGTGTCATAAACTCGCCAGATCGGAATCCCACAAGTGTTGCCTATTATTATTATTATTATTATTATTATTATTATTATTATTATATAATATCATGAAAAGAAGTTTAAAACTTTATACAAAAATAATAAATAGAGTAGAATGATTTTGATTTAAATGTACCTCACGAACAGACTGTGAATATCTCCGGTGGGTGGTCCGACAGTGGCAACCGAAGCGGCGGTGGGACCACGGCCAATTCCGGAGGATTTTTTTCAGAATACTATTCCGTCGTTACAGGTGGCGGTTGCATTGCCGCCACCTGGCACTTATCTTTCGCAATACGATAAGAATCCTCAAGGGAGACCATCGGTGGGTCCCGCTAGTGAAATTCCTCAAGTGCCTGTGAATGTTTCAGTTTCTATAGAGTCGTTTGGACTTCCGGATGGTGTTGTGCCACCACAATCCATGGCTCCTCCACCTGTTGCCATGCCGCCACTTCAGGCGGTGGTCAACGCTCCGACGTTGACCCAACCACTTGATTTAAGCTCCCTTGAAGGTCTGGGAGCTGTGAATGTAGTGAAACCTTCTGAGCCTCCTCTTCCAACATCTGTGCGACTTCGACAGGTGGATAAGTTTTCCTTTTTTAAATTTTTTATCATATAAAATAAGTAGATTACAGTTTCGGTCCCGAACTTTTGTCTCTTACAATTTTGGTCCTTTTGGTTTCTAAGTAAAATATGTTGTTTTGGGAACAAAGTTGCAAAAATCTGTTGTACTCAGGGACCAAAATAATAGTCAAATAAGGATGAAAAATGCAATAAAAACCTTTTGGGGATGTGAATTGCAAAAATGAGGTAGATTGAGGGACCAAAAATGTAACTAAATGAAAAAGAATATGCATTATTAAAATTGTTTTGATAAATAATAGGTTCCACGTGGGGTTGGTGCTTCAATTTGTTTCAAGACTAGGCTAGTGCATCTTGAACATAATCAACTACCAGATGCGTTATCTTGTTTTGATGAAGCTTTTCTTGCATTAGCAAATGACAATTCTCGTGGAGCTGATGTAAAGGCACAAGCCGCAATTAGTGCTCAGTATAAAATCGCAGTTACCCTACTTCAGGTATTATTATTATTTAAAATTTTAAAACTTAAAACGGAACTCAAATTTACACAATCGCAGTCACCCTACTTCAGGTATTATTATTATTATTATTATTATTATTATTATTATTATTATTATTCAAACCATCTATTGCATTGACATAATTACCCTCGGCCACATCAATGTTCAGTAAGTCTTTCCTCCCATTCTTTTCTAAACCTGCAAATGCCACATTAATGCTCAGTAAGATTCATTTAAAATGAAAATATGTCAAGAGTTTATTGCAATAAAACACGCTGCTTGTTTACCTTCGTTTTAGAAGTAAATCTAGTTCAGTTATGCGTCATGCGTTACCAAATACTTCATCTTTGGCTTGCAGATTTCACCCCTTCAAACATCAAAACAAATCCCGATGAACAAGCACACATCGTGCAAAAGATATGTCCACGGCTCAACGCGTATGGATGAAAAACAGTAGCTGAGGATCCAGAGTAAAAGCGTTTTACAATTTATGTAATCTTAAGCTATGAACTTTTCATAATTTCGATATATAGTCAATCATACCAAGCAAAGAGCACAAGTTAGACTGTATTCCAGAACTACATAACCTGGAAGCACCAATTTCAGTACAAGTTTTGAAATTATAACGTTGAGATCACAAGAGAAATAACTACAAAGCTCATAGCAGATCATTTCATTTGATTCACTGAAATTCATATATAAAGCCACCAGTTCAATTAACCATGGTGATTGTAAGATCTCCAAGTGTTCAGCCTGAAGCTTAGACCTGAAGTTCATGCCACTTACAGAGTTTTGCGCCTGAAAAACAAACATAAATCATAACCGCAACACGTCAATCCAAAAAGAAAAGAAAAAACAACAATCTAAAGAAAGAATAGGATATTTGCTTACTTTGTCCTATTTGTTAAGAATTTTCCTAAGAGCTATAGCATACATGATAACATATTTGATTAACATTTGCCCTTCTAGTACAAGTGCTTGTTGATCATTTTTGAAACATTGAAACAAGTGTAGTAACTGTCTCGGCATACGAGTTTTGCAATTAAGCTGGCCAAGATGTCTGACTCTAGAGCTAATACACCCCATTATATCAGAATCTTCTTTCATTATCTCGCTGAAGAACATTCGATCACACCCTACATTCATAAACAAATCATGAATAAAAACATCACAATCGTATACAATACATAAGACACATATTCATGGCATGTTCTTAAAATTTACGTAATGTCAAAATTGGTAGTTCATAAGAGTCAGCAAGTGTAAAGAGTAGGATTACTAATTATAAACAATACAAACAAATGCATTAAGAATCGCAGAATCAGATATTGATGCTAAGGATGGAACATCCCAGTTCCCACCACCAACAGTAAGAAGTACTCTCATCCAATCTAGTTATAGTGTCCCGTGACAATCTGATCCTAACCGACTAGTCAAATCTCCAATACTTTTAGAGTCAAAAAAGTTTTCTAGTGAAAAAAGTGAAGTTACAAATGATGTTTTTGTCCAGAAAGCTTCATATAACCTCCTGATCAGATTACTAATAAAAATGGATTTATTGGGCAAATTGAACCTAGATACCAAGTCTTGTAGTTCAATCATCTTGTGCTCGAGTTCTTTTGTTGCATATAGATACACAAGATAGCCAAAAGTGGTCTCATTGTGGTGAATACCTAACAGAGACATTATGTCGAGCATCATGTGTGCATCAGTAACCGATTCTTGTTCAAGGAAACAACCATACAAAATCGTGTTATAAGCAGACAAATTAAGTTTGTGATATATCAACCAATAGATCTGATAGTACATAAAAATATCTAAAATGAAAAAAAAAACATGTTTATATACCTTCCCTGTACCGTCCATGGCGACTATAAGAGTGTAAGTTCGTTTAGAAGGAGAGGAGAGACGTATGTGAGAATTGATATTTTGGAAGGGTGATTGAGTTATGAAGAGTGAAGTGGAGTCGAGCTTCGAAGAGCAGTAGTGCCCGAAGAAAAGAGGCGGAGTAGCAGCGGGGGATTTAGGACCGAAGAGTTGGGATGCTGGTGTAAGAAAAGTTGAAATTATCGCCAAAGTAAACCCTAATTCAGAGCTTGTAGTCCGTAAAAATGGTGATAGCTGGTAGAAAGTGGTGAATGGGGGATGGATGAGTATTGAATATGATCTAGGGTTCATTGTTGTTTGTAGTTGGTATCATGGTTTCAGAGCACCAAAAATCTAAAAGGGATAAAGATTCATAACCGCACAGTGCTAATAGGGTTTCTTCGATAGAGGATTTTACATTAGAAGGAGGAGATGCATCACTTTGATAACATCAACATCAAAAAGATGAAAGGGAGAGGATTGGAGAACAAGCGGCGTTTTGAATTTTTTGGGATTTCATTTCCCACCTTTTATTAAAGGATGGAGGCCCAAAATATATAAAACAACCTTCTTACACGATACCCGTTTAACATAGGTTCCCTCCGTGTTTGTAAATTTTTTTCTATTGGACACCAATTCCAGGGTACGCAAAAATGCGCGTCCACTACCCTTCATATTTCTAAAAACTAACAATATTATTAGTACACACAGAAAAAGCGTATCGTAAATCAGCGAGTGTCATTGTTTTCCCGTCATTAAAGGGTATATTTCTTGTAGTGATACGTGATTATATGTATCTAGTCACATATGATTTTTACGGACAAAAAATAACGATATCTATTAAAATCATATTTGATTAGAGAGATATAATCACATATGATTATATACACAAGAACAACTATTGAATCGAGAACACAAAGATAAATATTGTCCACATATATCATATGTGATTAAATGCATATAATCACATATGAGTATATGTATCTAATCACATATGATTTATCTAGACAAGATTCATTTTCACGTTCTCAATTCAATAATTGTTTTTTCCACTTTAATCATACATGATTAAATACATTTAATTAGATGTGATTATATGCTCGTAATCACATATGATTTTATTTGGAAAAAACAAATCTTGTCTATATAAAGCATATGTGATTAGCTATATACAATCACATGTGATTATATACACGATAACAAATATTGAATCAAGAACACGAAAACAAATCTTTATCCACATTAATCATATATTTGATTAAATACATCAAATCACATGTGATTATATGAATCTAATCACATATGATTTATGTATCTAATCACATATGATTAAAAATAATTAAATACTTATAAATATGATTAAATACTTATAATCACATATGATTAAATATATGAGAAAAATTATTGAAACGGAAACTCAAAAATGAATATCGTTTATATAAATCATATGTGATTAGATACATATAATCACATGTGATTATATGTATCTAATCACATACGATTAAAGTTGACAAAGAATAATTATTGAATCGAGAGCGCGATAATGACATATGTGATTAAATATATCTAATCACATTTAATCACATGTGATTATATGTATCTAATCATATACGATTTATGTGGAAAAGATTAATTTTCACGTTCTCAATTCAATAATTATTTTTTTCCATTTATTCGTATTTGATTAAATTAATCTAATCACATGTGATTTATGAGGACATTGTTCATTTTTGCTTTCACGATTCAATAGTCGTTCTCATTATTTAATCACAAGTGATTAGATTATATGTATTTATCACACATAATCATATGAGATTAAATACATATAATCACATGTGATTGTACATATAATCATATGTGATTATATGTATCCAATTGCATACAATTTTTTTTGGAGAAGATTCATTGTCACGTTCTCGATTCAATAATTGTTCTTTGTCAGATTTAATCATATGTGATTAAATACATGTAATCACATGTGATTATATGTATCTAATCACATATGATTTATTTAGACAATAATCATTCTTTCTTTTTTGATTCAATAATTTTTCTCTTGTATTTATTCATATGTGAATGTATTTAATCATAAACAATTTTTGTCTATAGATTATATGTGATTACATAGATATATAATCACATACGATTATATACACGGGAAAAATTATTGAATCAAGAACAAGAAAACAAATATTTTCCATACAAATGATATGAGATTAAATACATATAATCACATATGATTAGATACACGGGACCAACCATTGAATCGAAAATGAGTAATAAATATTATGCATATAAATCATATGTGATTAAACAGATATAATCACATCTGATTATACATATAATCACATGTGATTATATATATTTAATCACATATGATTTATATAAACAAGATTCGTTAAAAACAAATATTTTCCAAATAAATCACATATGATTGAATACATATAATCACATACGATTAAATTGTATGTGATTAGATACATATAATCATATATATTAGATACATATAATCACACATGATTATATGTATTTAATTACATATAAAAAAGTACATATAATCAAACATGATTTATGTCATTATATGTATTCAATCAAATACAATGTTAGTGGCTATTAATTGTGGTGGTGATAGGTGATGGTGGTGGGTTGTGGTGGCGACTGGTAGTGGTGGTGGTTTTGGTGGGTGATGGGTGGTGGTCGTGGTGTCGGATGGTGGTGGTATTGATGGGTGGTGGTTGGTGGTACTGTTGTGTGTTGGTGATGGTGGTGGGTAGATATAATCACATAAATCTTGTTTACATAAATCATATGTGATTAAATACATATAATCATATGTGATTAAATATATTAGAATAATTATTGAATCGACGGAAGAATAAATATTTTCCATACGAATCATATGTGTTTAAATATATATAATCACATGTAATTAAATACACAAGAACAACTATTGAATCAACACGTGACACAAATATTGTCCATGTAAATCATATGTTATTAAATACATATAATCACATGTGATTTAATACACGATGCCAATTATTAAATCGAAAACAAGAAAATTAATACAGCCAACGTAAATAATATTTTATTAAATACATATAATCACATGTAGTTATATGTATCTAATCACATATGTTTTATGTAGACAATAATCATTTTTGCATTCTCGATTCACTAGTTTTTCATGTGTATTTAATCACATGTGATTATATGTATTTAATAACATATAAATCATATATGATTTTATATATATAATTACATGTGACTCGATACATATAATCACATGTGATTATATAGAATAGAAGGCCTAATGAATCAAAAACACAGTAACAAATCTTTGTAGGTGGGGGTAAGGTGGTGGCGGCAGGTGGTGGAGGCGGGGTGGTGGTGGTGTGTGGTGATGGGTGATGGTAGGTGGCTGGGTGGTTGCAAGTGGTGGTGATAGCGACAGGTGGTGCGTGGGTGTGAGTGGTGGAGGTAATTCATTTTTGTTTTGTGATTATATGAATCTAATCACGTATGATTAAATACATATAATCACATGTGATTATATGAATCTAATCACATATGATTTATGTGGACATAATTCATTTTTGCTTTGTCGATTCAATAGTTATTCTCATGTATTTTATCAAATGTGATTATAGGTATAATCATATGTAATTAAGTACATGAGCACAACTATTGAATCGAGAAGGAAAAAATGCATCTTGTCTGCCTCAAATCATATATGATTATATACATATAATCACATATGATTAATTACACAAAAGCAATTATTCAGTCGAAAACTGTAATTATATGTATCCAATCATATATGATTTATGTAGATGAGATTCATTGTCACATTCTCGATTCAATAATTGTTGTTTGTCCACTGTCATCATATGTGATTAAATACATATAATCATATGTGATTATATGTATTTAATCACATATGATTTATACGGACAAAAAATAAGGATGTCTATATAAATCATATATGATTAGATACATATAATCACATATGATTATATACACAAGAACAATTATTGAATCGACAACACAAAGATAAATAGTGTCCACATATATCATATGTGATTAAATGCATATAATCACTTGTGATTATATGTATCTAATCACATAAAATTTATGTGGTAAATATTTATTTTTGCGTTCTCGATTCCGTTGTTGTTCTTGTGTGCTTAATTACATGAGATAATATGTATCTAATTAGA